AGTTCTCAAATGTGGTCGCTATTGGTTCCTATAGGTGCGCCAACACCCTACCAAAGCATGTAGCGCCCTGGAGGCTGCTTTCAGGAAGAAAGGCGTAGTAGTGTCTACAAAGCCTGAAGTGGTAGAGCATCAAGGCTGTTTTACAGAGAGGGCCCTGAAGATCAAACAGTTCTACTGTAGCATGGAAAAGGAATCAACATTGAGATGTTTGGTACGTGTCATCAATTTCAAAGGAAAAGTACAGAAGATAGTTGCAATGAGTGCTCATAATCAGTAAGGGGATTGCATGGAAAAATCCATTCATGGGCATCGCCAAACAAAATATAATTAGCCTGGCTTGACTCCATTAAAAGAACCAGCGAAGGTGCTAACAGTTAAATCACCTTCCCTTTTTCAGACAAACCTTTGAAGAGACTTGTGGATAATCTTATTTTGATTACATTAGAAGAAAATCAGAAACAGTTCGGCACATCAGAAAGTCTGGCACTTGTGTCAATGCTTCATTGCTGAGTAATTAGATTTGAGAAGGCCATGGTTCACAAGAAAGGATGCAAACGAAAGATGGTAATCTCATTCTGACAGACCTTTTAGTATTTTACTATCCTTATGGAACAGGGTTTGAATTGTCTGCCTGTCGTGTTTCTATTAGTATGAAGAATGTACTTTTACATTCACATTTTATGGCAATGTTAATTAATGATGTAAAACAAGTTCATTTCATATTGGGTGACTCGTTTGGAGCAGGAGTCAAAACATAAGTTCATCTTCTGAAGATTTCAGGTGAAGAATCTTTACTTTTTAACCATTCCAATCCTTTTTTTAAAAAAAAAAAAACGGTCTTTGCACTCTAAAATGTATACTTAGGTAATAAGAAACTCAAAAGTAAAGATGTAGCTAAGTTACTGAAGAGGTTTTCTGAAAAGAAAGGATTTTTTTTTCCCCCTCTCAATCAGTGAAGAAGTCTGTTAACTTAGGCTGGGGTTAATTTAAAAAGTAGGCAAATCACATATTCAAATATGGAGACCTCTTTTATAGTTTAACACCAATAATTGTCAACTTACAGCTCCCCTTTTTCTTGACATCATAAACAGGAGTCAGTTTAATTTTTTTTTTTTTTAAATCGGCAGAGAACAATGCAGTGGTGTTATAAATTACAAGTACCAGGTTTTAATTAGAACATCATTAGACAACTAGAGACATCATTAGGGAGACAGTGCCACTGTTCTATCAGTGCCTATCACTCAAAGGCATTTGATCACTCACATCAATTGCAAGCACCTCCTTGTTTGTATACATTACGAAGGCTCCCTGTCCTCCATTACCATTTGGGTCAGGAAACAGGCTGCATTTACCCCTAGCATAAATTGTCCCTCTCTTTTAAACTCTGGCACTCGGCACACCCCGTGGGCTGGCCTGGGCCCACATGCCCTCTTTTGTGCCTGCAGAATTTGTGAAGGAGAGTAAAAACTCCACTACAAATATCTGACTGATTCTCTGCCCCTGCAAGTTGGACCTGGGGGCGAGTGCAGCCTGCAAAACCCCAAAGTGTATAACAATGAAAGGCATAATACTCTGCTGTAGCACCCAGTCTTCTGCTTATCCAAAACACACAGGCAAACCTCTTCAGGCTGGCATCTTCTTCCCATGCAGGCAGATAGACAGGTTTACTACTAGCCCAAGTAGGGGATCTTCACTCAGCTCTCAGCCATATTTGGGACCATCCAGTGGAGGGCAGTTCTGCTCTCTGCAGCCACATAATTGGAGGCTTTTTCTCCTCTTTTGTTCACCCCACAAGCATGGCTGGTGCCAGGGGCCTGGTGATTCAAGGGCAGCCAAAGCCCCAGGATAGCCACCAAAGCACACAACAGTCCAGGTGGTGCTGAGGGCTAGCTGCCTCTGGCCTCTCCGCACAAGGCCCCCCCCACCCTCTCCAGGATCATGGAGCCAGGCCTACACCCTCCTTGCCCAGAGGCCCATGGTGGTTGTCAGCCCCACAGCCCACAAGTAACAAAGGTGAGCATGTGGCTCCCACTTGCCACAAGAACAAGAAGAACCTAGAGAGAGACTCAAGCAGATCTTTGGTCTTGCTGAGTCTCAAATGGGCAATCATGAAAAGTAACAGCACACACAGCAGCCCTGGGGTAGCTTTTTGTCTGCAACAAAGTTCAGGGTGCTCTGGGAGCGTGTCCTCGGGGAAGGTTGCTATTGAGCTTTACATGGGGACAGGACCCGAGACCCCCTCATGGAAGAGCTGAGGAGAGCATGCAGCCATGGGGGATCTAAAGATAACATCTGAGGGGAAACCAAAGTCGGGTGTCAAGATCGAGAAGAGGAAGCAACAGCTCATGGCACCCTGCAGCTGTGCCACAACAGGCAGTGAGCTTGTCAGATCTCAAGCTTTCTAGGCAGAGGCCTGCTTGGGGCTGCATGGGAGCCATCCAGGGAAACCTCAGGCTCCGCAGGCTGGTGCTGGGGAGAGAATTCTTGGCAGTACTGAGCCGACACTGAGCATGTTGGCAGGAAACCCATAAACAACAGTGCTCATGCTCCCCGTCACAAGAGTAAGACTGAGATCCTAGCCACTCAGCTGGCCCCAGGACCCCACATTTGAATATGGTTAAGAGAGTTGATCACTTTGTGCACAGGAGCATTGGGGTGGCAGAATTTACTTTTCACATGCATTGCTGACATGTTCCACCCCAGAAGTAGCTGCATGTTCGAAACAGGGGAGCAATCCACAGGCAACATACCACATCACATTTTTTTTTATAGTTGGGGTTACAAAAGTACTTGCTCCTTTCCCCCCTCCTCTACGGAGGGGTCTTCATCGTCAGACAGGGATAGCCTGCTCTTGCATTGCCAGTCTTTACTCTTGGGCACTCACTGGTATCTTGGCTCCCCCCCAAAGCAGACGTGCCCCGCACCCGGAGGTTTCTGCAGTAACATTATATGAACTGTGAGGGCATCTCCTGCTGGAGGCTACCTGGCACATCAAGGGAAGGGGATGCTGCCCTGAATCTTGCCAGCAGGGGGAGGCAGAGGTCACTTTCAAACCCATGGACTCTATGGTTTTAGCAAGGCCAGGCCTGTCTCAAGTAGCCTGGGAAATTAAGGAATGTTGACCTGGAAAGATCAGGCCAGGGATGCACCTTAGTGCTTCCCACTGGCCTTACTCACTTCCATTGAAGTCAACATTGGGATGCTCAAGGCAGGAGCAGAAGGCGGCCAACCCATAGCATTTTTGGAAACGCCACCCTAGGAGTTAGGCTGTCAGAACAGAAAATGTGTGATAAAGAATTAAGCACCGTGCCCCCCCGCCCCATCCCAAGTGAAACAGGCAGGATGTGCAGGCACAGAGCCCCACTGAGGCCTTCTGCTTGGCAAATCTGATGAAGGCAGCTGTTGCTACTGGCACCCAGCTCCTGCATTAATCTCTTCTGAAGTGGGTTTGATTTACTGGGATCTGTCCAGGGGAAAACTAAAGGAAAACAAATGTAAGCAATAGTAGGTCACTACCCCATTTCAGGTACATGGATGCTGGCAGACTGAGCTGAATTCAGCCAAACAACTTTTTTTCCCCCTCCACAAAGTGTTTATACACAACTACATGGCTTCAAGTTTGGGGGCTTTTAAAATGAAGGTCCCATGTCCAAATTCCCCAGCTCATCATAAGGATACCAACTCAACTGTCTTATCCTGGAGCCTTGAGGAATTAAAGGTGCCCATTTCATCACACGACATCTGACCAAAACTGACAGCCCCAAATTCTGGAGAGTTTTGACCAGAAAATTAACATGCATCTAAGAGTCCCCATATCATTCCAGGAGAGATGAGAGGATCTTTGGGCTGAAATCTCTCCAGATAGTTAAGAGCTCACAGGAGGACACTTCAGAGGAATAAAACCACAGAGAGGAAGTTAGAATTAAGAGGTTTTTGTTATTAAAAAACCTATTCATAAGTCCAAATGCAACAGCCGACATCAGAACCACCCAAAAACCTGGAACATTTGAACCTACATTTGCCCCCAAGGAGAACTTAGGGGCAGCCTGGCAGAGCACAAAGCCCCTCACTAGTCCTGGCTAGGTGGCAGGCAGTGTGTGTGCCAGGGATTACCAACAGTAACACTAGTGGTCTCTGTAAAACTGTACAACTTTAGAAACCCTAAAAACACTATTAAAATCTAAACTGGTTTCTTTTATCAAAAGCCCTGCTTTAGTGACATGCTAATCCCACTGGAGATTAAGACCCCCTCCCCCACAACCCCAATAGCAACACATTAAGTTGACCAGCCAACTCATAGTTTAGAACATCCTCCTTGTGTTTTAGCCATGCCATGTGCCCATGGCTTGCACTGGCTCAAGTTTAAGTTAGGATCGTTACTGCTAGCTTCCAAGTGCTGAACCAACATCCTACCAGGCATGGCAAAGCCACACTTCATAGTGGAGGGGAAAAAAACCTACACCTCCCCTCTTGGGCTCATTGCTACCTTCTGTTCTAGCCCACACTGGAGTTCTACCTCCAATAGTACCTTCAGGAACCCGGCCTGCTCTAAGCTGGCTGAGTTATTGGAACGTCTTTCTTTAAGTTTTTTGTTTTTACCTTTAAATATAAAAAAACCTACTTCACTCTGTGTTACACACAGGAGATCGAGTGGCTTCCAGTGACTGAGAAAGGAGGAATTTTGCTACTAGCTCCCACATTCAGCTGGGACAACAGAATGCAAGAAGATGCCCAGAAGTCTCAGACAGAAGGGAAAAAGTTTCCTCACCACATGTGTGCGTGCAAAGGGCTGGGAATCGGTCATAGCTTTACTCCTCCCCCGCCCCCAGCCATAATTATTGGACAATGGTCTAGGGAGAGCTTGTTGTGTTACTCATGTGAGTCGGACTCTTGGGCCACCCACTACAGCGTTTTGTCCGTCAGCCTTCTTTCCGCCTATCACATTGTCTGCCCATGGAAGCCAATAGGTCCTGTCAGACATACAGATGCCTTAGACAAAACAAAGCAAGAACAAAGAGAAAAAAGTAGACAAGAACTAAAGGCTCCCCCCCTCCCCGAACACAACAGGAGTTACTGGGGCACAGACAGACAATGTGGTGACGTGTGCCCTCAGAATTACATCTAGAAGGGATGTTTTGGGGGGTAGACGGTATCTGTCGCGGCAGTCCACTTAGTTCTTGTAGTCAAAGGGCTCATCCCCAGTTTCACTGAGAAGACACGTACGGACTAGTGCCTCCGTCACAGCATAAGGGTCGCAGTTGGCAGAGGGCCGGCGGTCCTCGAAGTAGCCCTTCTTTTCCTGGCCCACATTCCTGGGGATACGGATACTGGCACCACGGTTGGCCACGCCGGCAGAGAACTCATGGATGCTGGAGGTCTCATGGAAGCCGGTCAGGCGCCTGGCGTTGTCTAGCCCCCCTTTCGGGTCGTAAGCACGGATGTGGTACTGGTGCCGCTTGCCGAGCTTCTCAATGGCCTCTTCTATATGCCTGGAGACAGAAGGCGGGACCTTGTGAGTGGCTGGCGAAAACACCTGCTGTGCTGCTGGTCACTTGGCCATGGAAGACCTTAGCCAAGTGCAGGAGTTCCGACCTTCTCCCACTTCGACACAAAATCCCTCGTTTCAGTCCCTTATCTTCAAGCATTGCCATTCCAGCTAATACCAGCCACAGGGCCCTTCCTCTTATTGCTACAGTAGAGTCAGTATCCTTAGGCACCCTTCCTTACCTGGTTCAGTTACCTACACCCAATTCCCCTGCAGATGGGACTGGGCATGTTCCCCTCCCTGCCTATTCTGACTAGTGAGGCACTTGCAGAATTGTTTGGGTGGGTTTTTTTTTGGGAGGGGGAGGGAGAAGAGGCAGTAAGACTCACTGACTGGAAATGAAGAAAATTACAGCTTATACGGGTGCCAGTTAGAACCAATAATTAGGCAGAGTCGCATAGCCACTCAATAGGCCTGGAACAGCTTTCCTTTATGTGTGGGAAGGCACCAGTAGTGCTTTGAGTAGGATGGCCAGTTGTCCATTGGTTTGGGGTTTTTTTGCTACTCTGTCCTCTATGGATACAAAACAGGATGCCTTTATGGCCTCCATTTTTCTTGAGACCAGAGGTCAAAGTAAGCTGGTGAGCTACGGTGCCCTGGCAAAAAGCCAGCTGGCTGGGGTGCACCGCTGCAGCTGCTCCCAGCCAGGCTGGGCTTCGGGGTCCCTCCTGTAGGCTGCCTTGCTGAGCAGCAGGTAGACAAGCAGGTGAGAGGGGCTGACTAGGGGTGTGCATACCCCCCCCCCCAGTCTACTCCAGCCCCAAGGCCTCCTAGAGATGTAACCAAGTAGTTGACTACTTGCTTCCCTCACCTTGAGGTGGGGGAGAGAAACAGGAGCTGGTGCTGTGAGGGGCTGGCTTAAAAGCCAGTTCTCCCAGGCACCATGGAGATGGTGCCACTTGCCCGCCCCCCCACTCCTTCCCCCACACCTGGGAGCAGCAGGGGGGGCAGGAGAAGAGAAGAAGCTGACAGA